GAAGGGTAGGAGAAAGGTAATAAGGGAAAAAATATGAGAAAAGGAAAAATGGAAATGAAGTCTTTGTAAATAGGGAAGGGTGGAGGTACTGAAGGGAGGGCAGGGGTAAGGGGAAAAAATGAGAAGATCTGTCATGTCAAGGTACAAGATCCCAATGATGAATGTAACTGTACTGTATACTTTAAAAATACCAATAAATTAGGTACAAATGGAAAAAAGATGGACAAATTATTGGGCAGCTTCATACCTTCATCATTGTACCTGTGGCTTCGGCTTCTCCAGGGTTTTCTCTCCCAGCACAACCTGCCTCCTGTCACCCACAGCAGAGTATACAACAGGGAACTCAGTTCTTACCTTTGAATTTTGCCCAGACTGGTGTTGTGATAGGGTCTTGCTATGTAGTCCAGGCTGCCCTTGAACTCAGTATATGCCCAGGGTGGTGTTGGCCTCCAAGTGCTAGGATTATAGGCGTGTGCCACTGTGCCTGGCTTGTACAGATTTTGCTTATTGCGGTACTAGTAAACAAACGCAGGGCCTTCCATTGAGCCACACACACCCGATTTTTTTTTTTTTTTTTTTTAAGAGTGTGACTATCTCAGGCTGGCCTGGAACTCAGTGTTGTCCACATTGGGCTTGAACCTGAGATCCTCAGTTTCCCGAGTGCAGGGATCGTAGTGAGCCACTGCGCCCCGCTTCCAGTTTCCTCTTTCAACTTCCCAATTCTCAGATCCTGGCCACTGTACACCTGTTTCTTCACCTGTAATAATACCTACTTTACAGGGCTGTTGGGTTAAAACATTGGCTGCTTAGTGTTCTTGTAAAGTTATGACCTCCAAAAGAACGGAAGGTGAAGAAGGAAGGAAAAAAAGATGAGTAAAGGCAGGCACTGGGGGTGAACTAGAAGACGGTCTGGTCTGCCAGGTGCCTCGGCCAAGCTCGAAAGCAGGTCTGTCCCGAGTGGGAGTTGCTCCCAGGCCTCTAGAGCCCAGGCCCCGCCCTAGCACCGTCCGGCCGCTGCTATTGGCTTGGCTGCTGGGTGCCTGCGGCTCTCGTTGGCCAGCGGGCTAAGTTCTCAGAGCCGGGGGCGCCCGGTGGTCTCCGGACTCCCAAGGCCCGGCAGCGCCTGTGGCACAGGGCGCTCACCAGCGCTTGGCAGCAGAAGCTTCTCCGGGCGCGGGGCCAAACCAGTTGGTAGAGGCTGTTAGGCACCGCCTGTGTCTTAGCTTGGCTTCTGGAGCCCTCGCTCCTTTCCGTTTCAAATGGGGACGCGTTGGAATCTCGTGGGTACCTGTGAGCTTTTTACCAGGCCGGCAGTATGCATCGCAGATGTTCTTTTTGGTACTGGGGACTGAATCTGAGGCCTTTGCACCAGGCCACATCGCAGCCCTTTTGATCGAGACAAGGTCTCGCTAAATCGCTCGCTTGCCCAGCCGATCTCAAATATGCGATCCTTGCGTGGTCCTGAAATTCCCGGCACGAGAAGCTCCAGCTACCGAAGTCCGTCTCCACCCCTTCCCGAAGGTGTCTTAGCGGGGCTGGTAGGTCCCCGCTCTGAAAGTTTTTCTGTACTGAGACATCCAGGACAATGGTTGGGGTGGTTAACAGGACTGCAAAGGAAAAGAGGTTCCTACCGCTTTATCGCGCTCACTGGAAACATCCCCGGAAATAAAATACAAAGCCACGCGCTGATCCCTCGCCTGAACCTGAATACCTACCTATATCTGCCCCGGTCTGGGGGCTGGGGGGACAGACAGACAGACAAGCCTTCACTTTTTAAACATGGACCCAAAATACTGGATTGTCTGGTGCGGATGTAATATACACGCGTCTTCCGTGTGTTGCCTGTGGATTTTTTCCCTCTGTATAAAGAAAGAAGTGTTTTCGTTTTTTTTTGAGTCTCACTGCGTAGCCAGGCTGTTTGAACTCTGCGAGCCCCAGCCCTCCTGGTGGTGGGGTAACAGGCATGTGTTGCCGCGCCCAACAGGAAAAGTCTGGAATCAATTCAGTACACAAGTTATATGGCACAGTATCTATGTTTTATTTCAGCACTTTTTAAAAAAATGATGCAAGAAAGTGGCAGCCAGTTCATTCTTGGAAGAATGTTGTTTACGTTTGATATAGGGTCTTGCTTCATAGTTCAAGGTGGCCTCGAACTCATTGTAGCCCAGCTGACCTCAAATTCACAGCAGTCCCTCTGCTTCCGCCTTGTAAGTGCTGGGATTGTAAGTAAATGTGTGTCACCACGCCTGGCTCTGGAAGAAATTGTTTTAATTTTTGTGGTGATGATTGAAGCATAGAAGAAAACTGCTTTTATTTTCAATTTCATATGTGCTCTTTATGTCCTATTTCTCTAGTATCACATTTCAATTGAAATAATTTAATTCAGTTTTATGGAACTTAAGGTTTCTTTTAAAATATTAACGCAAATTTCAGCATATATTTGTCATGTATTCATAATATTGTTTTTATTAGCATAAGGCACAGTACTATATGAATTCCCTGAGTGCAATATCCATAACCAAATAAAATGTAAACAGATCCCAAAGTAAAAAAAACTTTTTTTTTTTTTTTTTTTTTTTTTGTTTTGGATGAGCCCAGGTTCTCACCCTCACTAGGCAAGTGCTCTACACTGAGCTACATTCCCAGCCCCAAAATGGGCTTCCTACTGTTTTAGTGTTGATATTGTACGTCTCTTTAATAAAGACCCTTAGGTAAGAGAACATACACAATGGCTTGGAATTTCACAAGACTAGTATTTTGTCTGGTTTGACTATGTGACCACTGAATTTTACTAAAGTGAAAGGCTCTTAATGTGGGATTAAAATCTCCAGGATCTGGGGCTGGGGAATTAGCTCAGTGGTTCTGCCACCTGCTTTGCAAGGACAAGGTCCCAAGTTTGATCCCCGGTACAAAAAAAAAAAAAAAAAAAAATCTCCAGGATATAAAAATGTGGCAATGAAATCTCCCTTTGTTAGCGTTATGTGCCGTGCTGGGGATGGGACCTAGAGCTTCATGCATGCTAAGCAAGAGCTCTACCACTACCCTACATTCCCAGCCCAAATACCTGTATTTTTAAAGTTTCCCTTAATGAGCCAGGTGTGGTGACACACACCTATAATTCCAGCATTTGGGAGGCTGAGGTAGGAGGATTACATAGCAAGACCTTCTTTCAAAAAAATTTTTTTTGTCCTTAATGATACAGTCCGGACACAGTGGACAGAAAATCAAATGGCTCTAAAGCCCCTCCCTAGCATTTGTATGGTGAGGACTAAAGGAAACTTTATATTGCATGTAAGAAACACTGGGAAGCTTTAAAAAACTGATGACTAGGCTATGCCTGTCAGATTCTGATTTGCATACACGTTTTTTTCATTGCTAGAGATTGAACCCAGAGCCTTGGCACTTGAGGCAGGCATTCTACCCTGAGCCATGCCCATAGTCTCTTAATTGTTTTCAGTTAATCTTACTAAATAGTTCAGCTTTGTTTCCATTTTTTTCTTGTCCCTTCCTTTCTCCCTCCATCCTCCCTTGTTCCTCTTCCCATTTGAACACTTTCTTCCAGTTTCTCAATATCTATTATATATTTTAGGCCTTATTTCCACTTTCAGTCTCTCACACCAGAGAAACTATGGGGTATTTAAACATATGCGTCTGATTTATTTCACTTGAGTATAGCATCTATTTTTAATGGGCAGCTAAGCTTGAGAACCGCTGTAGGCCTAAGTGTTCTATTTCGTTTTCTTTCTTTCTTTTTTTGGGGGGGATAGCAGGGATCAAACTCGGGACCTTGCACTTGCAAGGCAGGCAAGTGGAACCACTAAGCTAAATCCCCAGCTCTCTATTTCTTTCTTTTATAGGCTAAGTAAAAATAAGTTACTGTTTTGTTTTTGGCTGTACCAGGGACTGAGCCCAGGGTCTTCATATCTAGCTAATATCTCCATCCTGTTTTTTAAATTTTTACTTTGAGATTGGGTTTCACTGGTCACTAAATTGTCCAGGCTGGGCTTGAATTTGTGATCCTCCTGTCTCAGCCTCCCAAGAGTGCTGGGATTATAGGTTTGTGACATCAGGGCTGGCTAAATTACTCTTTAGTAAGGAAGTGAGCAGTTTAAGTAATATCATTAAGGAATTAATTTTCCTTTGATCCCCAGCCCTGGGGGAAAAAGATTTCCCCAGTGGAAAAAAGAAACTATATAGTAGAATGGACACTCAGAAATCTCTAAAAGTGAGGCAAAGTATAACAAACTCTTGAATGTACTTTCTAAAATGTAGTCAATATAATTGAGTTTACAAGTGATATGATTAAACCCAGAGGTAAAAAGGCATTTCCCTGGCCTTTATTTCCTATTTAATGGTGGGAGTGTGTGCAGTGGTTTTTGCTGCCATGAAAGAATAGAAAGGAAGGAGTTGAAGAGTCCAGCATGCTATTTAGTTTTAAAATATTCTGCCTTTATGAGTCTCTTTACTACTCTCGCTATATATGTTTTATTATTAACATTACATTTAAAAATATTTGACTTTGTGGTATTAATATAGGTCTGTGGGTTGCCCATCAGTTGGAGACTGGATAAAGAAGATGTGGTTTTTCTATAAAATGGAGCACTACTCAGCCATAAAGAATGAGAAACTAGAGTCATTCATAGGAAAATGGATACATATTGAGGCCATATTCTTAAATGAAATAAATAAAACACACGTGTAAATACTGAATAGTTTCTCTGGTGTGAAAAGCTACAAGTGTAAATAAGATCCAAATTGTATAACTGACAATGTGACAATGTGAAATAGGAAGAAAGGGGCTAAGAAAGGAGTAGGGGAAGTGGGAAGGGAGGAGAAAGGAAATAAAGGAAAAGAAAAAATATGAGAAAAGGCAAAAATGGAAACAAAGTCTTTGTAAATAGGGGAGGGTTGAAGGGGTGAAGGGAGGGCAGGGGTATGGGGAAAAAATGAAAACCAAGATCTGTCATGTAAAGGTACAAGATCCCGATGATGAATGTAACTGTACTGTATACTTAAAAAGTACCAATAAACTCAGTGAGAGAAAAAAAAATTACAGATCTGTATAGGGAAGCTGATATTTAAATATGATGTTTATAGATCACCTGTGGATTTCATTTTTCTGGTCCATGAACAGTAAAGATATTCCTGTATTATAAGCTATTAAGTATACATCACAACATATAAAACAGCTGGCCCAATGCTGCCATTTCTGTAATAACCTGAATTTTACCATCAACACTCTATAACTAAAGTCACATCCTTTACATAACATTTATTCTGTATAGGATTTGTCCACATACAATGACTAAACAATTAACTTTAAAACAATTGATGGTTAGTTGTATAAAAGCATCTTATAAAATAGAGTGATACATAGTACAGCTCAGTGAATTAAGCTGATATCCTGGATTCAGAAAATCTGGTCCTTGAGCTTCTGTTTGCCATTGTTTCCCCAGCTATCTTATGTAGGTTGTTTAACTGTTTCATGCCTCCATTTCTTCACCTTTCACGTGTGATAACTGTCCTACTTAAAGATATGTACGGAAAGATATAATCAAATACTTTGCAAATATTAAATGCCATATAAATAATAAGTAGTAATACTGATACACTCTAATATAACATAAGACTTTCCATGTAAAATATACAGTTTGATCTTTCTGTACTTGTTATTTTCACCCTTTCAGTTAAAAACATCTTATGCTGTACTGTTTTGAGTGTTTTCCATACTGTTAATTCTAGGACTTAAAAAATTGAAACACCAAACTCTTTTAATCCATAAGCAGTAACATGGTCACATAATAAGCAATAACTATGTTTGTTTTGAGTGTATTACTCAAAAATATAAAACCAAAAATATGAAAACTTTTACTCTTAAGTCTCATGATTTAATTATTATAGAAGGAAGATCACATGCTAAGGGTGTGATTTACTTCACAGAGAGCCCTATGTATTTACCTGCTTATAAACACAGTGAATAACAGGAGAAATGAAGTGAAACTGTGATGCTCAGAGGAATTCAAGAAGTTATCTGGTTCCACTGTTTTCAAAGTTGAGCTCCAAGTGCTGGAAGACTTCTGGGGAAAGGCTCATGGAGTCTCTAACCTGATGAGCTCCAATTTAGAGCTTAGCCCGCAGCTGCTGAGCTTCTCTGAAACAATTTATTTGAAGAGTTGAAAAAAAAATCTGGAGTTAAAAAAGCCTATCCTCTGAACTGCTGCTGTTTTCCTTCTTCCAGACACTAGGTATAAATGCAGTAGTACTTTATTTTCCAAAACTCCATGCCATCAACCAGACTTTTTTTTTTTTTTTTTTTTTTGTACCAGGGATCGAACTCAGGATCTTGGGCTTGCGAAGCAGGCGGTGGAACCGCTGAGCTAAATCCCTGGCCCTTGAACCACATTCTGGAGGACAATAAAATTAGAAGGGCATCCAGAAGCTGACAAACAGTATCTCTGCAAAAGCAAACTTTGTTCTAAATAATTCCCATTATTCTTGATGTTAAAAGAAATTCCTTGCATAAATAAATCTTAACAAATTATACTATGTAGTATTTTCCCACATTTTTTTTGGTACCAGGAATTCAACTCAGGACCTTGTGCTTGTGAGGCAGTGTGGCACCACTGAGCTATTCCCTGACCCACATTTTTCCACATTTAAAAGTCAAAAAATAACTTTCTCAGAAATCAATAGTTTCACCCTAGAAAAAAACTGGTCTGTAAAGTCTTAGGTGTATATGTTATGATACCCTTTTTGTTGGTTTTTTTTTGGTTTTTTTTTTTTTTGGTACCGGGGATCGAACCCAGGTCCTTGTACTTGTGAGGCAGGCGTTGGAACCACTGAGCTAAATCCCTGGCCCAGTATATTTTATGATAAACGGAGTCATTATTTACAACTTACAACCATGTCTTAAGTGTTTTTTAGGATGCTGAAATGATAGAACACATGCTCTGTCTGGTAAACTCGGTAGCTGTTTTGTGGGGATCCGGATCCAAGTTTGCTGCTTGCTAGAAACAGTTATGAAAGGCCGGGATTCAGCCCAGTGGCACTGTACCTGCCTTGTAAGAACAAGGTCCTGAGTTCGCTCCCCAGTACTGAAAAAAAAAAAAAGAGAGAGAAAGAAATAGTTATGAGACATTTCTGAAAAGGCAATGAAAGTGCTAGTGACACTATGTTCAGTGGACTTTGCTGATGTTCATGCTGATGTGTATAGTTTGCATGCAGAAGATAATAGCATAAAATAACATTTAGATCGTAGACTAAAGTGCATTAGGATATAGACATGCAAGCACTAATTCATTTCTATGAATAAAGCTCAAATCAGCCATGTTTCCTTTTGACCCCAACAATTAAAATTCAGGTTATAAGTTTGAAAGCTGTTAGTATTACTCTGGTAAGACTAGAGAATGGCAGGTGGTGCCTCCCTCAGTAGGATGCAACTTAATTGTTAGGAATCCTGATTTAGGAACAGTCGTGTTGTGAGAATAATGAATTCAATGCACACTAACCAGTCTTGAAATAACTAGAAATTTGCCATTAGGAGAACCCTGAAAAGCCCCAGAAGGAAGGATCAAAACAAAGTAGTTAATCATCTACTGATAACATTTTTGTAAAGAAATTAAGCATTGTAAGCCACAAACTGTTATCTATTATTATTATTATTTTGGTACTGGGGACCGAACTTGGGTCCTTGCGCTTGTGAGGCAGGTGATGGACCCACTAAGTTAAATCCCTTGCCCTATAAACAGTTATCAAAGACAATCATTCATTATAAAAATAAGAGGTGGAGGGGCCGGGGATTTAGCTCAGTGGTTCTGCAGCCTGCTTTCCAAGTGCAAGTTCCCGAGTTCAATCCCCGGTACCCGTCCCCCCCCGAAAAAGGAGAGAGAGAGAGAGAGAGAGAGAGAGAGAGAGAGAAAGAGAGAGAGAAGCAAAGTTTGAAACCAGCCTGGACACTTTAACAAGACCCTGTCTCTGGGAATGGTGAAGCATGACTGTAGTCCCAGCACTCTGGGAAGGATCATAAATTCAAGCCCACCCTGGGCAATTTAATGATACAAGGAGGCCCTGTCTCAAAATAAGAAGAGCTGGGGATGTAGCTTTGTGTGAAGGTCTAGGTTCAATTTCTAGTACTGCAAAATAAACAAACAAACAAACAAAAAGCTGAGGATACAGTTCAGTGGTAGAGTGCCCCTGGGTTGGATCTGCAGTACTAAACAGAACAGAACAGAACAAAACAAAAAAAGGAGAACACAATAACAAAAAATATCATCAAAACTGAGCTTGGGTGGCACACGCCTATAATCCCAGCACTCAGGAGACAGAGGCAGGAGGATTGCTTGAGGCCAGCCTAAGCTACATAGTGAGTTCAAAGCCAGTTTGAACTGCATAGTGAGACCCTGTCTCAAAAAACAAACAAAACTCAATATCATCAAGGTATTTTATGGGCTTTAAAAAATACAATATAATACATGGAACTTCTCTATAGCACAATTAAATTATATCAAGCTTCATTGTGATAACTTGTAGAGATCTTTATGAAGTTCAGTTCTTCTGATATTAGATTTTTATCTTTGGAACTAAAATAATTCTTCAACTTAGCTATAGTTTTTTAATATTTCATAATTCTTACATGGGAGGAATTTAAATTTTGCATTTGAAAGGAGAAAAGTTTATTGACAGGTCTTCTTTATATACTTACTACCTTAACTTTTAGGTAGTACAGTATGTTTCCTGTTTTAAAAAATGATGCCTCAGGCATGCATGGTGTTACACACCTACATCCCAGCACACTGGGAGGCTGAGGCAGGAGGATCACAAATTCAAGTCCAGCCTGTCAATTTAACAAGTTAGCGAGAGACTGTCTCAAAATAAAAAATAAAAATGGGCTGGGGATGTAGCTTAAGAGTAGAGTATTCTTGGACTTGATATCTGATACCAACCAGAAAAAAAGCCTGTATATACTCTGTACTCTGTGGTCAGCCTTTAAATTTTGTTTTGTCTTGTTTTTTTAACAATACTGATTACATAACAATATTTTTGCTGGGCATGGTGGAATACACCTTTAATCCTAGCATTCTGGAGGCTGAGGCAGTAGGATCACTGAGTTCAGGGCCAGCCTGGGCTACATTCTGAGTTTAAGGCTAACTTTAACTACATAGTGAGACCTTGTCTAAAAAAAAAAAAAGTCATTTCTTTCCTTCCTTCTTTCCTTTTCTTTCTTTCTTTCATAGGGTCTCACTAGTTCAGAGTGTCCTTTGAACTCATTATGTAGCTCAGGATGGCCTCAATTTGCAGCAGTTCTCCTGCCTCAGCCTCCCAGATGATGGGATTAGCGGCGTGTGCCACCACACCTGGCTTGACAAAAAAAAATTTTTTTTTGGTACCAGGGATCGAACTCAGGACCTTGTGTTTGTGAGGCAGGCGGCAGAACCAGTGAGCCAAATCCCTGGCCCCAACAAAAATTTTAAATGGGAACAATTTCCAGTATTTTAGATTAGTCTTCAGTCATAACTCCAAACTGTTTAGGATATGAGAATAACAATAGGTTGTTTCAGATCTGAAATTAATAGAAAGACCTATTATTTCAGGTAAGTGGGTTGCCAGGCCCTTAAACGTGTTCTTACTTGGTTCCCTGTGAAATTCAATATTGAGAGCATATGTAGTTTTAAAACACCTTAAAATTATCTTACATAAAGTTTGAGTGTGATAAATTTAAAATATTTTCTTTGAAAAAAGGCTGCTAAGTAAATCTTCTGATATTAAAAGAAAAAAGGTGTCTCTGTAGGAAAGTAAGAGGATAACTGTTCATCCATCATGCCAACACAAGTTATGTCTTTCTTTCCAGTGCAGCAACATATTTTAGGGCAACAAAGTTCAGAATGAATGCAATGGCCTGTTCAGAAAGCATGCAAGTTACAACAGGTCATCTTTTTAAGTCAGTAGGACAAATTTGTTAACCAAACTTTGACCGTGGAAAGAGAGATACAGGAAGTCAATATAAACTGCACACATGCCAGTATCATCGGTCCACATTACAGCTACCTAATGTTGGGCTTTATTTCCTTTTCTTCTTCTTCTTCACTATCGTCAACCTGTTGTATGACCAGATCGGCAGACCCATCCTCTACAATCTCCACATAGGATCTATTCTCATCTTCACTCAAGTGCCACCGAGAATCCTTATCTCCATCTGATGGGGACATGAGATGCTGCTCAGATTCCAAATCAATGGGAAGGCTGTCTATGCCAACTTCAGCAAGGCACTCATTACACAGTCTGTAGCGCCTGGTTCCTTCCTGTACAACTTGCCCTGTTAAGTCAGTCACGTGGCGTTTGCATTTTCTGCAGATTAGTTTGCATGCCTGGTGAATCTGTGTAGAGATTTAAATAGTGGTAAAAAATAATTTTTCAAAAGGATGACAGTTTGATATCTAGGTACCAGTTCATAAACTTAAGATATTCAAAGCCAAGCATTAAACTCAAATTAATATCTAATTATTAGAAAAGATCATAGGTTCTGGTGATAAATTGGTGTCACAGAAATATTAAACACTACCTTTCTGTAAATAATGGCTATAATTTAAACAGTAATGCTTTATTATTTTGTTTTGTTTTGGTACCGGCAATCAAACTCAGGACCTTGCACTTGAAGGCAGCAGCACCACTGAGCTAAATCCCCGGTCCTCAGTAATACATTAATAGTTGAGGTAACAAAGGGACACTTTCCCAGAATAATAATAACTACACACACTGACTAGGTGTCATATACTATTCTAAAGGCTTTGCACAGTTTTACTCAGGGAGAAAAAAACTTTTGTTTCATATAAGTTTTGTTTTGTTTTTTGTTTTTTTTTTGGTACTGGGGATCGAACTCGGAACCTTGTGCTTGTAAGGCAGGCGGTGGAACCAATGAGCTAAATTCCTGGCCCCTATAAGTTTTTTTTTTTTTTTTTTTTTTTGGTACCAGGGATTGAACTCGGGTCCTTGCGCTTGCAAGGCAGGCCACTGAACCACTGAGCTAAATCCCTGGCCCTTAATTTTTATTTTAATTAATGAAAGATATGCTAGGAGGACCACACTGGAAATGCAAAGGCTTGAGTTCTAGTTCTGGTTTTGCCACTTATTATCTGTGCCATTTACTACCACATATCTTGGAGCAAGTAATTTTTAACACTATAACCATGCTTTTAACTTGACAGCCAAAACATTTAACTGGTATGGCGGGGCACCACCTAGACAGGTGGGAACGTGACTGTCCCAACGGACACCGGTAATAACAAGCTGTAGAGTGGTTCTTTCACACATTAGCCTACTCCTCTCCCTGCCTCCTCTCTCATACCTATCCACAGGGGTGGATACTATCCACAGGGTTGATGTAAGGATCAAATAAGTTAATAGATATGAATTCTTTGGTTAAAAAGTTGTAATGGATAAATGATTAAATATATATCATCACAGTTAGTAATAAAAACTTCATTCAATAGCTGTTAGAGTGGCAGATTATGGGTTCTAATCTAAAAATTATGATAATTATATACTGTTGATTAGTGTTTATGGAATATTCATTTAGATAAAGCCAGGCCAGTATGGAAGTAGGTCACCAAACACAGCAAAAATATCTCAGAAAACTAAGAGACCCTGGTAAAATATCTAAGAAAATGTATGGAACATTATTTAGAACAGTTATTATCTTCTGCTTAACTGTTGATATATTAATCAGTGAATATAGTTTGAATTAATTCTTATTTCTCTTGAAACATTTTTGTCGTTGTTTGTTTTTTTGTTTCTTTGAGACAGGGTCTTACTATCTAGTTCACACTGCCCTGGAACTCACTGTGTAGCCCAGGCTGGTCTCGAACTCGCAGCAATCCTCCTGCCTCAGCCTCCCAAGTGCTGGGATTACAGGCATGCGCCACCACACCCGGCTCTCTTGAGACATTTTGAATGTCACATATAGTACATACTGTTTGTTACAAAGTTTTAACAGAGACTTGTGTCCATCCCTCCAATACTAATTATCAACTCAAAGAAATTAAGTGAAACATTATGTTAAAATTGAAAAATATAAACATGAACTTATTTTAAATATATATTTATATGAATATATATATTTTCTAGCTCTGTCCACTGAAATAGTGTAGAAGAAATAATACCTCTATAACAATTACTGTTCAAATTTGGTCTCTTAATTTCATTGCCATTAAAAGGAATCAAGGTTGTTGAGAACTGGCTGATTCTAGTTTTGTGGAAAATTAACCCAGGCCTCTTCTGGGGCCAGAGGACAAAGACACTTTCAAAATAAATTGGTTAGGGCTGGGGATTTAGCTCAGCCATTTGGTGGCCTGCCTTGCAAGCGCAAGGACCCGAGTTCAAGCCCCGGTACCAAAAAATAAAAAATAAATAAATAAATAAATTGGTTAATGACAGCTACTCAGGAGGCTGCGGCAGGAGGATCACAAGTTTGAGGCCAATCTGGGAAATTTACCAAGACCTTGTGTCAAAATAAAAAGGGCTGGAGATGTAGCTTAGTAGAAGTGCTTGTGTAGCTTGTGAATGGCACTGGGTTCAATCACCAGCACCATTAAAAAAGAAAAGAATAAATAAAAGAGTAACAAGAAAAAAACAGATGAGTAGTATAGTGGGACACATCTTTATTCCTTGCCACTTGGGAGGGTGAGTCAGGAGGAAAAAGTCTGAACTCAGCCTGGGCAACTTGGTGACTTAGTGAGATCCTATCTCAAAATAAGAAATAAAAGAAAATGGGCTGCGGGAACAGCTCAGGGTAAAAGCCCTAAGTTCAATCCTCAAGAACAGGGGGGGAAAAAGTTATGGATCCAAACACAATAAATGGATGAAAATTTCTGACACTATATTTAAAACAAAAAAGCCAGAAAGAGCTCAGTTGTATCACATGAGGCTGCTATTAAAATCAACTCTTGGGCTAGGGATTTAGCTAAGTGGTTCTGCCGCCTGCTTTGCAAGGCAAGGTCCCGAGTTCAATCCTGGTACCGAACAAACAAACAAACAAAAATCAACTCTTACTGCCGGGCGCAGTGGCGCACGCCTGTAATCCCAGCACTGGGGAGGCAGAGGCAGGAGGATTGCTGTGAGTTTGAGACCAGCCTAGGCTACATAGTGAGTTCCAGGTCAGTCCAAACTACATAGTGAGACCGTATCTCAAAAAACAAAAAACAAAACAAAACAAAAAAAACCCCAAAGACAAACAAACAAACCAAAAAAAATCAACTCTTAATTTGAAAACTGGTAATTAAAGAGCAAGAAATACATACTTATTTTGCTTCTCATTTAGGACCTGTATATCAAAGTAACCAAATAGCCCCAAGTAAACAAGAAAAGTTCTGCTTTATAGGATTCTACCCAATAACAGAAAAAGAATGAAAAAAATAGTAAATAATTCCACAACTCTAAGGAATATTATTAATTCTGGCAGAGATGATCAGTTGGTGCTAAGGACCTGCGAGGCAGGTGCAATGCCACTGAGCAAATCCCTGGCCTTACAGATTTGTTTGTAATTATAGGCAGCACCATTCAATGTACAGTGGTGGAATCACACTGCCATCACTCTAAGACAGATGATTAACATCATAAGGATGGGTCAACCAATACAGCTCTCCTCGTGTGACACAATGTGAAGTATACAATTTTGCCCTTGATGTATTCTGGTCAAAAGTATTTAACTTGAATACATTAAGGCTTTAGATGAAACTCATAGTTTATAGAGAATGCAGGGAAAATAAAGGTACACTAGCAGACAAACTCTGGAGTAGGGTATTTTGTAAAAGGATTCTTTGGGATCTTCAAGTCAGTGTTTGGGTGAGGAAAAAGTGTGTGTGGAGACCACACCAAATTAAAAATATGAAAAACAGGGCTGGCAATTTGGCTCAGTGGTTCCACTGCTTGCCTTGCAAGCAAAAGGGCCTGAGTTCGAAAAAAAAGCTCAACAGGAGGCTATCCTGGCACTCGGGAGGCTAAAGCAGGAGGATACTGAGTTTGAGGCCAACCTGGGCTACACTGCAAGCTCCTATCTCAAAACAACAACAGCAACAAAGTGGGGGACAGGACAGGAGTAACTTAGTGGTAAAGTGCATGCTCAGCATGCACAGAGTCCTGGGCTTGATCCCCAGCAATATAAAGACAAATTAATACAAACACTTAAGGGACTTAGTAAGATGATACACGATCTTGGATTGGACTCTGACCCAGACAAGTCAGCCATAAGAGGTATTTGGAGGGGATAATAGGGAAATTTGAAATTAGACTGGGTGTTGGACAAAATTTATTAAGATGGAAAGGTAGAAATTATTCATTAAAGAAAGTACTGTACAAAATAGCATACACAGTATGATCTCATTTTGGTAAAAATATGCATATATGTATGAAGAAATTTTGGAGAATATATAATAGAGTTATTAGGAATGGTAACGTCTGAGTAGAAAAAATGTAGTTACTATCTTCTTATTTTTACTGCTATTTTTATATTATTATCATTGGTGCTATTATTATTATTAAAGACAGGGTCTCACTGTGTAGTTCAGGATGACCTTGAATTCACTATGAATGTAGCCCAAGCTGGCTGTGAACTCACAGTTATATCCTCCTGCCTAAGTCTTCTGAGTGCTAGGGTTAGAAGGTTGTGCGACTGTGTCTAGCTTTATTTAATTTTGTTTGCTCTGAGACAGGGTCTTGCTACACAGGTAGTCTAGGTTAGATGAACTTGCTATGTAGCCCAGGCTGGACTTGAACTCATGATTCTCTTGCCTCAAACTTTTTTTTTTGACACAGGGTCTCACTATGTAGTTGAGACTGCCCTGGAACTCACTGTGTAGCCAAGGCTGGTCTTGAACTCGCAGTGATCCTCCCGCCTCAGCCTCCTGAGACCACAAGCGTGCGCCACCACGCCCGCTAAACTCTTGAGTGTCAGGATCATAGATGTGTACAACCATGCCTGGCTATTTTTTTTTCATCATACATATTTATTGCTTTTGAAATGATAAAAGGTTGTTTTTATCTTTTTGAGAAAATATGTTTATTAGACATATAAAAGGTTGTTTTTGTTTTGAGGATTTTTTTTGGTATGGGGGATTAAATTCAGGACCTTGCGCTTGCGAGGCAGGCAGCAGAACTACTGAGCAAAATCCCCAGCCCTATAAAAGGTTATTTTTAATTTTTAAAAATATAGCTTTATCAGGGGCCCAGGATTTAGCTCAGTGGTACTGCACCTGCCTAGCAAGCACAAGGCCCTAAGTTTAATTCCTGGTATTGGAAAATATATATATAGCTGTACGAAATTAATGAAAGCAAAGATACCTCTGATTTTTCTCACTGTTGTACCTAACCCTTAGAAAAGAAACTGCCACATGGAAGGTACTCAATGTATATTTGTTGAATAAATAAGTAGAAAGCAATGTATGAAGATATCACCTTAAGTGACACACTGTCCTGTAAATTAAAAAGAACTCTTAAAAGTGGTAGAGAGCTTGCCTAGCATACATGAAATATAGATAACAGAACACAGATTTTAGAAAAAAATTTTGCTGCAAGATGAACAGCAGATCAATTCCCCTGTTACTATCTTATTAAACCAACAGGGAATCAAACAGTAAATTCCCTGAAATTACTCTGCTGACAGTCAATCTTGGACTGGGAGACTGGGCGCAACTCTACTGCTCCCCTTGCTGGTTTGCTGAGGAGCTGAGAGAGAACGTGGAGAGACTAGAAAGGGAATGTAGTGGGAAGAGGTCAGAGAGGAGCGGCGACACTGAGATCCTATCCGACCAGATTCAGCCAGCAATTACTAGCAGGTGCTGAGTATCAAAAATGGGGATTCCAGAGCCGGGGATTAGCTCAGTGGTTCCACCGCCTGCCTCGCCAGTGCAAGGACTCGAGTTCCATCCCCGGTACCAAAAAAATAAAAATAAATAAAATAGAATGGGGATTCCAACCTAGATACTTAAGACATTTATATAATTTGCATTAATTTTGGCATGAAACAGATCAGTGTATAAAAACATTTTGGATTTGAGGCTAGGGGTGGTGGTACACCTATAATCGGAGGCTGAGACAGAAGGTTTTCAAGTTTAGGCCAGCCTGGGCAACATAGTGAGACCCTGTCCTCAAATTTAAAAATGTGAAAAAGCTGGGACATAGTTCAGTGGTAGTATGCTTGCTTAGTGCACATGACCCCTGTTGTTTAATCCACAGTGCCACATACACAGACACAAAAATTAGACTTGATGGAATTAAATGGAAATATAAAACTATTTAGCTCCAAAGAATTATCTCCTACTTCAAGATTTCAAAGGAGAACCAAAATTGATCTCTCTATAGGTATATATTAAATTATGCATATGTGCAAAGTAAAACCATTAAACATGAAGACTATTTAATGGGAGAGTTGTGTGATAAGATTTCTCTCTGTAAATTTGATTATCCTAAAACAGAAAAACACACATATTCCTCAAGAAGTAAAATGATGAAAAATCAAACACATACTGTTCGGAAATGGCTGCTTAGATGGTCGAGCCTGCTGAACCTTTTCCCACAAGCTTGACACGGATAGGGCCTTTCTCCCGTATGGCAGCGCAGGTGGCGCTTGAGGTCAGCCTTCCGCTTCACCACATGTGTGCAGTATGGGCACTTGAACTGCATCCTGGGAAGATCATCTGTCACAAGACAGCGTGATTAAATCACTGGACAGATCATAATAGCAATTGTTAGCACCGAGAATCCAAAAGGAGCTGGTGAGCCTAATCTTAGAAAGGTAAAGAAAAAGACAAAGAAATTCTTTTAGGACTACATTGTTAGTGTCACCCTAGGTACAGAACGATAACTTCAGTATTTGACATATTTATAACGTCTGAGTAAATGCAGACTGCCACCCTATCCCACACACTGCAGACTGAGCCTAGGGCCTTTGAACTGAGATGTATCTCCAGAGCCAACCTGCCCCCACCTTTTGGTGCAGTACCTGGGGACTGAACCAAGAAACACTCCACCATTGAACTACAACCCTAGCCCTTTTTATTTTATTTTATTTTATTATTATTATTATTTTTTGTACCAGGGGTGGAACTCGGGTCCTTGTGCTTGCAAGGCAGGCTGCGGAACCACTGAGCTAAATCCCTAGCCCCCTTTTTAAATGTTTTGAGACAAGATCATTACTAAGTTGATAAATTGCCCAGGCTGGACTTGATTGTCATTCTTCTGCTTCAAAATCTTAAAACACTAAAATTACAGGCATGTGCCACCACACCCATCTTATGCTCACCTCTTTTTTTGAGTCAAGGTATCACTATGTAGTTCAGGCTGGCCTCAAACTCATGGTAATCCTCATGCCTCAGCCTCCTGAGTGCTGGCATTATAGACAGGCACCACCACACCTGGCTATACTTTTTATTTAATATAGCAGAGTTTTAGATTTCAAGTGTGATAAATTTGAGCACTCTAGACACAATCCAAAAGTAAAAGTAAAAGCACACTTTTTTTTTTTTTTTTTTTTTTTTTTGGTTTTTTGAGACAGGGTCTCACTATGTAGTTGAGACTGACCTGGAACTCACTATGCAGCCCAGGCTGGTCTCCAACTCACAGTGATCCTTCTGCCTCAGCCTCCCCAGTGCTTGGATTATAGGTGTGTGCCACCATGCCCATCGTAAAAGCACACTTAATATTCAACCTTTTTTTTTTTGTATCAGGGATGGATCCTTCCATTTTTGAGGCAGGTGGCGGCAACACTGAGCTAAATCCCAGGCCCAATATTCAACCTTTTAAGCTACTTGTTTTATTGTATGTTTTTATCTACTTGCCTTTGTCTTTCATATACTTGTAACATTTTTGTTAAGGTTAAATTTTCAAGGATATTTCATATTTTGTTTTAAAATGCAAACAGTTGTTACATGGCTAAGTTGGTTGTGATCAGAGGCAAACTTTGTCAATTTAACAGCTGTTAAATTCAACTGTTCATTATTAAAGTTATATTTAAATAATCTAGCGAGGGATTTAGCTCAGTGGTTCTGCTGCCTGCCTTGTAAGCACAAGGTCCTAATTTTGATCCCCAGACCCCCTCCAAAATCCTTAAATAACCTCAAATCATAAGACCACGGAGCTAGAATGAAGATAACTTTTTTGCTGTTTTAAAATGTAATAGGACTGGGATGTGGCTCAGTATCAGAGGACTTAGCATCCACAAGACCCTGAATTCAATCCCTAGTAACACCCCCCCACCACCAATCTAAAATGAAACAAAGATTTCCACTTTTTGATGTTATTTTTATATGCTTTGGTCAATACTTACAGCCTAGCAGGACTTTCAGTAAACTGTGTAATGTGATACAACTTTACATATTTTCAAATCAGTATGCGGCAGAAAAAATATGATTAGTAAAAATCAAATTAGATTTTGTTATTTTCAATTATGTTGGGCTAGTGTTATGTTAGATGCCCACTACTCTATAAAACAATTAAAAAAAAAGTTTGGGACCAGGGATTTAGCTCAGTGGTGCCACTGCCTGCCTCAAAAGCTCAAGGTCCTGAGTTGGATCCCTGGTAAGTTGGGAATGGTGGCACATGTCTGTAACAGCTACCTGGGCATCTGAGGCAAGATGACCTCAAGGTCAAGGAAAAAAGCTGGTGAGATAACTTGGTGGTAGAGTGCTTGCTTAGCATGTGGGAGAGGGTTCAAAACACACACACGCACACACACTTTATATGATAATCAGGGAAATATGAATCCCTACAGTCTACTTAGAATATTAAGGAATTATTGTTCAATTTGTGTTGGTATGGTAAGGGCATTGTAGTATTTTTTTAGCCTATATTTTAGGGATACATTCTGAATTATTTACTAATGAAAGCATGACGTTTGAGATAGGCTTAAAATTAATGAAGGGAGGGGTGATGAGTAGGAGTGAAGATGAAACAAGACTGGCTGAGGGCCAGGGATTTAGCTCAGTGGTTTTGGCATCTGCCTTGCAAGGGCAAGAACCCGAGTTTGATCCCCGGTACCAAAAAAAAAAAAAAAAAAAAAAAAAAAAAAAAAAAGCAAAGAAACAAGACTGGCTGAGCTGAAAGTTGCTGAGACTGGATAATGAGCATATGGAGGTTACAGTCATACCTCAATATGAGAGGGGACTGGTTCCAAGGCAAACCTCACTCCCCAAACCAGATATTCAAATCCTGAATGCTCAAGGTTCTTATATAAAATGGTGTAGTACTTGCATAACTTCCTGTATACTCTAAATCCCCTCTAGATTATTTATAATACTTAATACAATATGAATGCTATGTAAGTAATATAAGTACTCATTATACTATATTATTAAAAAATACAATGAAAAAGAGCATATATTCAGTCCATATACTTTTGTATATTTAAATTTTTCTTTGGCTGTCCTCCCAAGTGCTAGAATTACAGGTTTGTCCCACCTGGGCAACTTAGTAAGACCCTTTCCTGAAATAAAAAGCATAAAAAAGGGTAGGGATGTAACTCAGGGTTCAATCTCCCAGTATCACAACAAAATTAAATTTTAAATAAATTTAAACAAAAAATTAACATGGCAAACAGAAAGCCTTAAGTTCATCCTAGCACTACAGGGGGAAATGTACTTTTGTTAATATTCCTACTGAGTGAAATACAGGAAACAACTATTTAAAGTGAGAATATATCTATCTTAGAGATTGAACCACTTAGAAAAAACTTTAAACATTTAACAGAGTTGTGTATGGTAGCACATGTCTGTAATTTCAGCACTTTGAGAGGCAGAGGCAGAAGGGTGGCAAGTTCAAGCTCAGCCTGGGCAATTGAGGGACTTACTGAGATTTGTCTCAAAAATAAAAAATAAAAAAGGGCTGGGACAGTAGCTCAGTGCAAAGATTCTGGGTTTAATTCCCTATACCATAAAAATAAAACAAAACAAACAAACCAAATTTAACAGTAATTCAAATACAGAAACAGAATTGGAAACTCATGAATTTTGACCTCATTATTATTATTTGGGGGAATTGCTGAGGATTGAACTTGGAGAGGCAGCCAGCGGCATCACTAAGCTAAATCCCAGGCCCTAAACTCATGTCTTATGAAGTAAATCTCACTATAAAAGTATGGCTTTTAAAAAATCACTCAGTTCAACTTCCCATTAACACCTAAAATTAAGGGCATGTTGAGATAGGACTGATTTCTATAGGAGTGTGGAACTGGGTTGAGGATACTTGTGGTCTTTTTGGGTACCTGGGAAACTCCTGGATGTGACATCAGATCCTTGACCATACTGATAGCCTACAGGACCAGAGTCCATTTCAGCATCAATTTGTGTTTGTTCTTCAGATTGGGAGATATGGCTGGAAGAATCGGATGTTCGTGCTTCTCGTTTGCTTGACTTAAAATGAGTAACTTCAGAAGGCTGTGATAATCTCAAATGTTTGGCTTTCTTAATGGAATCTTTTCCATGCTTGGCCAAAGGTTGCTGAGTATTCCTCTGGGAGGCTGGATGGTAATTACACTCACTCCATGACTTTCCACTTATTCCGCCTGTTCCCCGGTCTGGGCTGAGGTGAGAATGTGGAGAACTGCTTTCTTCTTGCCAGCTGCTGCTATAAAGAGAGGAACGTTCTATACCATTGGAATTGACCTCTTTATCTGAGAGACTGAAATAGCGATCTTTTTCTTTCTCACTAATGTCCAAGGAAGATTTAATAAAAGTCTTACATACACCAATGACATCAGTCATCTGAAGGAAGCTGGCGGCAGACATCACTTCAATGACGTTCTGCCCAGTAAGTGACAGTTTGCCGGAATAGACAAAGTCCAGGATAACTGTGAAAGTGTCAGGGGAGAACGCCTGAAATGTGGCTGTGGTTGGCTGACTGGTCTCCTTTGAATTCTGAGAAAGAAGCATTTTGAAGTAGCCACTACTAGCAAATAATACATTTCGATGTGCTTTGAAGACCTTTCCTTCAACCAAAATACTGCAATCACAAAATACATCTTGCCTGCGCTGCTCGTTCAGCTGTTCCAGCAGGTGAGACTGGTGTGAGGAGATCTCCATTCTGCAGGGAAAGACACAGGTGGATACCAAAAACTAAATATCAATCCCTTTCCAGGACAAGTCAAGAAAATAATGATCAGAAGACTCCTTTTCCCCCATCAAAACCATTTTTCTTCTGGAGAATACAGTCGTTAAGACACAGAAGATAAGAAGTTTCATTCATCATTTAATACTAATTATTAGTTATTAGGATTTTAGAAAATTACTGCGGCAGTCACCTTTATTGAGCCTTCTTTTATATGCTAGTCTAAGCAGACATGATCTCAGAACCCAAGCCAGGCAGGAAATAAGTCCTGAGTCAGTGACGTCAAAATCATTCCTTTTATATAAGTAGATCATTTCCAATATTGTGTGAACATAATATGTAGCATCTCCTACATATTAACAAACAAGCAAACAAAAATCTCTTAATCTCACATCTACCTCTGGCTACTACTTCTGTTTCTCTCTCCCATACATAAAGTTCACTGAAAGCTTTGTTTTCTTTAACCAAAACAAATCCACTTTTTAATTTTGACATGACAGAATAATAAGTTTCGTTAAGACATATTTGTGAGACAGATTTGACAAAAGCAAATATCATTTTCAAAAGAGGACAGTGGAGAAACCCTAAGAAGCCTGAAGGGGGCAATTAATAGGGACCCCAGTGGTCTGCTCCTTCTGGGTAACCATCTTGCTCAAGGAAAGAGCTTTGTTTTGATATTTGTATCTCCTGTCTTCACTTTTCCTCTTGTTCTCTTAAACTCATTCCTATCAGATTTTCAACCCCATCCATCAAAACCATTCTTTTAAGGTCATTAATAAAGTACATGTTGTTGTCAATCCAATGGTTATTTCTTTGTCCTCATTTACCAAGACAGTTAATCACTCTCTCCATCCTAATACATTTTCCTCATTGGCAGGATTGCTATTCCTTCTCACTCTCCTTTGCTGGTTCCTAATCTCTAAGTGTTGGAATGCCTCAGAGAGTTTCTTTCTTTTTTCTTTTTTTTTTTTTTTTTTTTGAGACAGGATCTCACTAAGTGGTTCAGGATGGCTTTTAACTCACTAAAGGCAGGCCCAGGCCTGCCTCGAATTTGTGGTAATCCTTCTGCCTCAGCCTCCCAAATAACAGAATTACAGTCATATGGCACCACAACTAGCTCAGTATCTCTAAGGACTACTATGTGTAGAGAAGATCTCTAGGGATCCCATTCAGTCCCACAGGTTTAAAAACCATCTTAGAGTTTATGACTCCTTTGCACGGAGCTATATCCCCAGCCCTTTAATTTTTTTTTAAAGACAAGATCTTAGTAAGTCCCTAAATTGCTCAGGTTGGGCTTGAACTTGAAATTCTCTGGCCTCATACTCCCAAAATTCTGGAAAAGATGTGTGTCACTGTGTCTATTTATTTTCACTTTTATATTTCCCCTATTAACTTGGGCTGGTTGTATCCATAAACTACGGAACAACAGACATCACTGACTGAATGGAAATACTGCTTAAATTTCACCATTAAAGATGTTTAGTGCCATGCCAGTGGCACACGCCTGCAATCCTAGTACTCCGGAGGCTGTGGCCAGCCTAGGTTACAAAATGAGTTCAAGCCCAACCTAGACTATGTAGAGAGACATGTCTTAAAAAAAAAAAAAAGAACATGTAGTATGTGCCAGTAATTCCAGCACCCTGGGAAGCTGAGGCAAGAGAACTGCAGTTTGAGCTCAGCCTAGATAACTTGGCGAGACCCTGTCTCAGAATAATAAAAACAATGCTGGGGATGTAGCTCAGTGCAAGGGCCCTAGCTTCAATTCCCAGCCCCTCCCTGCAAAAAAAAGAGAAGAAAAAAGAGGAAGCGAAGGAGAAGGAGAAGGAAGAGGAGGAGGAAGGGGAGGTATTTAGTATAGGAATTTGGCACCCTTTTGTTTCAGTTTGTTAATTTTTATCATAAATAAGTGTTAAACCTTATTAAATGCTTATTCTGCATGCTGTGGTTTGGATGTGGTCCTGAACATGTCTGACAAAGGTTCGTATGATGGGAAGTTGGTCCCTACTTTGGCAATGTTAAGAGGTGGGACTTTAAAGGGTGGGGTCTGATGGGAGGTTATATTAGGGGCCCTGCCTTTGGAAAGAATTGATGTAAAGTAGTTCTTTTGAGAATTTGGTTACTTCTCACAAGAATGCTATAACACAGCCAGCCTGACTTCCAAATTGCTCGCTGGCTTTCTGCCTCACCATGCATCCTGCTCTCACATACACTCCTGCCATGACGCCACTGCCATGAGGTGACACGGGGGAGGGGGGAGGCTTGCCAGAGCTGGTGCCATGCACTTGAACTTCTACAACTTTGAGCTAAATAATCCTCTTTTCTTTATAAAGTCATGAGCCCCAGGTATTTCATCATAGAAATGAAAAATGGAAAAATGCACTACATTTATTATTTTTTAGCCTTGGTCTGTATATTAGTTTTTAAGAGCTGCTGTAACCAAGTACCACTAGCTGAGTAATTTACAACAGAATTTTACTAACAGGCTGGAAGCAAGACAAAAATCAAGTTGTCAACAGGGCCATGTTCCCTCAAGACCTGTAAGGAAAAAATCTTTTGCTATGTCTATCTACTGGTGGCCTCAAGTCCTCTTTGGTCGGTGGCAGGGTAAGCTAATGTCTGCCTTTGTCTTCACATGGCCCACCTTGTCCCTGTGCACCTTGGTGTCTCACACAGCGTCCTTCCTATCACCACACCATCTTCGTATAAAGACACGGGTCATTCTGGATTAAGGGCCCAATGACCCCAGTATGACACCATCTTTTTTTTTTTTTTAACCTCACCTTAATTGTACCTGCAATGACCCTATTTCCAAATGAGTTACAGTAAGGGGCCAGGGATTTAGCTCAGTGGTTCCACTGCCTGCCTTGCAAATGCAAGGTCCTGCGTTCGATCCCCAGCACCAAAACAAATGAACCAAATGAGTTACAGTGGATTAGGACCTTCATCATATCTTTTGGGAGGAACACATTTAAATCTGTTAAAATGATATATTACACATTAATGGATTTTTGGAATGATGCATCCTTGGAATAATCCACCAGTCTTTATTCTCCCACTTATTCATAAATTTTGCTTTTTTGGTTTTCCAATAATCCTAGGTTGAACCGTGTAATGAATTAAATGTTGATTCCCTAAAATGCATGTCTATTTGTAACTAGGGAGGGTCTTTGTGGATGTAACTCGTTACAATGAGGCATTTCTGGATTAGGGTGAACCTTAATGACTAGTACCCTTATTAGTAGAAGAGAAGAAGTACAAACACACAGGAGAAAAAGCTACATGAAGAGGAGGCAGTGACTGGGATGGTGCAGCTTCTAGTCAAGGAATGGAAACTACCAGAAGCTAGCACAGGATCTTCCCTAGAACCTTCAAGAGGGGATGGCCCTGCAGGCACTGATTTCTGACTTCTTACCTCTAGAACTTAGGATAATTTCCAGGGTTGTGTTCTCTTTTGTTTGTGGTACTGGGGATTGAACCTTATTAACACCCTGTCTCAAGACAAAAAAGGACAGAGATGTTTCTCTGTATCAATCAATCAATCAACCTTGATTTAAAATGAATTGATGAGCCGGAGATTTAGCTCAGTGGTTCTGCCGCTTGCCTCGCAAGCACAAGGACCCAAGTTCGATCCCCGGTACCAAAAAAAAAAAAAAAGAATTGATGAGCAGGGTGTGGTGGTGTACACCTGTAATCCCAGCACCCTGGAAGCTGAGGCAGGAAGATCGCTGTGAGTTCGAGACCAGCCTGGACTATACAGTGAGTTCCAGGTAAGTCTCAACTACATAGTGAGACCCTGTCTCAAAAAGCAAAAATAAAATAAAATGAATTGATGAATGTGAAAAATATTCCTCTATTAGCAGAAGAAACTATAGCTAGTGAAGAGCTGGTATTTTCATCAGTTCAGTGGACTATTTTTCTGTAAAGGGTCAGAATGGAATTCCTTTAAGCTCTGTGGGCCATAAGTCTGTCACATCCACTGCAGTTCCACCATTATGTCACTCGATTCTGGCATAAGTACAAAAGCAGCCGTACACATGCCTTGAAGGAGTGAGCCACGGCTGTGATCCAATAAAGCAAACACAGCCACAGGCTACCCTTTGCCAATCCAAGCTGTGGACCTAGCCATTCCTTAAACTAAATCTAGTCGTAGTCGTTTCAGTTATTTGAGCCAATAATGCTCCTTTCCTTAAGCCAGTTCAAGATGGCTTCTTTCTTATAACCAGAAAATCCTGATTTATAGTTATTTCTATAGCGTCTTGATGTTTTAATATTTTCTTCACCTATCAATGCAACTTTTCTTTTCTTAAATCCAATGTGAATCCTGAAAGCAAAGTTGGTTTCAGAGAGGAATGATTAACTGATGTCTATACAATTGCCAGTTCTTTTTCAGACATAAAAATGTTACATAAACACTTTGGTTGTATTCTTAAACTTCTCAATAAAAAAGTTAATTCCACAGGGGAAAACACAGAATTTTAGAATTTTAGTTTAGTTTACCTTTCAGTAAGAATTTTCTTTTCTTTTTTGGGGGGGGTACTGGGGATCGAACTTGGGACCCTGTGCTTGCAAAGCAGGCAGCAGAAACCACTGAGCTAAATCCACAGCCATAGAATTTTCTTTCTAAGCAATTTATGGAAGTGGAAAGTGAGCATCAATACTGTTAGGTTACAAACAGTAGTTACAGTGTGCAAATTAAACATGTTCCAAACTAAGAGGTGATGATGCTTTACCTAAAAGAGAAAAATTATTTACTTCAGACCGGAGAACTGAACATCAGCTCTGACAATGGGAAGACTGATGGGGGCCCTCTGAGAGGAAAGGTTGGGAGCGCTGGGAATGACCCCGGCAGCAGGCTGTGCCCAAGCGCAGTCACAGGACTTGTCCCTCGTGGGAGGAAGCCCAAGTTGACAGCTGAGCTCCTGCTCTATGTCTTCTGAACAAGAGGCTATTATCTCAAGATAGGATTAAAGCAATGC